ATTTTGAAATTTGTATTCGAAAAATAATTTCAGCACAAAAATATTTTCCTAAATGCGTTAGTATAATGTTGAATATTTTTCCTTATTTATTTCTTTGTAAATAAAATTATATGGATTTTTATAAAGAAAATGTACTAAAACTATATTCAAAATAAAACTATATATTCCTATCTATTGTATTAAAACAACAGCATAACCAGTTGATAAAGATTCAGTCCAATTATTTTTTATTCATGTCTACTTTTTGATATCAATAAATGTTGGGTTTATACTTTATAAAATCACATGTTTCCCGTAACTATATTTTTTGTATATCTATATTTAACTTTCACTTTGTTTCCACAATTCTCAGGACCCAATAATCTGAAGTTCAATAATTTCATATTTTACTAATCTTTGTTTTAATATTTTTATTTACAAAAACTATGTTTAAAATATTATGTTTTCCTATGGTTTATTTAATCAAAAAATTTAAGTTTAATGAAAAAAATTTATTAACTTTTTTTTTTAAAGAATTTTTAATTAAGAAATTTTCATTAGACCATATAGATGTTTGGGTCTCTTAATTAAGCCTCTTAAACTCACATTTATTACCTAATAATATTAAAAAACAGCTAAAAATCCTTTAATGGGTTTTTAGGATAATCATGCTCTAATGTCATTATTTTTCTTTCAATATCACTCTTTCTTTTTGTTTACAGACCATATATATAAAGAGAACTGTGATTTGAGACCATATGAAACAGCTTTAACACAGTTTTAATAATAATACTGATAACAATATAGTTAAAACGAATTTTATTGTCTATATTAGTATTTCAAATCATATAATAACTTTTTTGAGCAATCATATACTAAATTATTTAAATTTGTTTTATTAAATCAGATCATGACCAATTGGTAAATAATTAGTCTAATATAATTAGTTATCTTTTTTTATAGATTAGTTAACATAACATTCACGTTTCAATTTGATATATTTAATATAGTTACAAAAAACATTAAATTAATTTAACATAAAACAAAAATATGATTACAAAAAAATATAAATAAAAAAATAATTTATTAAAAGGTGAATATCTTGGAGTTCTTTTTTTTTTAACAAGACAAAGCAACTCACATGAGTGTTTTGTCGGAAAATAGAAAAACAAACTAGATTTTGGACCCGCGAATAAAAAGCGCAGGTACCATTTTGTTCTTTTATGTACAGATAGATCGATTAGTATTTTGTTTTGATGATATAAAATGTCACTATCTAATATATTTTTTTTTAAATTAATGCATATTTTAATTTTTTGTTATCATCAATATCTATGTAAATGTATTATATGTAATTGTGAAATAGTATCAATTAACTACGTCTGGTGCTGGGAAGCGGGTCAAACTCGTCTTGCCTGACCCGTCTGACCCGCCAGACCCGCCTGACCAGCAAAGAAAATATATTTTATCTGCATCCATCCCACTTAATTTTACAGGTAAGCCGCGGAACCCGCAGATAATTACTAAATAATAAAATTATTTTTATTATTAAATATTATATTTTTATTTAAATTTTTGATATTTCAAATATAATAATTATTTTAACAAAAATGCGTACCAAGTTTCTAAACAAAAATGCGTACCAAATTTGAGCAATCATATACTAAATAATTTAAATTTGTTTTATTAAATCAGATCATGACCAATTTGTAAATAATTAGTCTAATATAATTAGTTATCTTTTTTAATAGATTAGTTAACATAACATTCACGTTTCAATTTGATATATTTAATATAGTTACAAAAAACATTAATTTAATTTAACATAAAAAAATATGATTACAAAAAAACATAAATATAAAAACAACTTTTTTAAAAGGTGAATATCTTGGAGTTCTTTTTTTTTTTTAACAAGACAAAGCAACTCACATGAGTGTTTTGTCGGAAATAAAAAAAAAAACTAGATTTTGGACCCGCGCATAAAAAGCGCATGTACCATTTTGTTCTTTTATGTACAGATAGATCGATTAGTATTTTGTTTTGATGATATAAAATGTCACTATCTAATATAATTTTTTAAAATTAATGCATATTTTAATTTATTGTTATCATCAGTATCTATGTAAATGTATTATATGTAATTGTGAAATAGTATCAATTAACTACGTCTGGTACTGGGAAGCGGGTCAAACTCGCCTTGCCTGACCCGCCTGACCAGCAAAGAAAATATATTTTATCTGCATCCATCCCACTTAATTTTACAGGTAAGCCGCGGAACCCGCAGATAATTACTAAATAATAAAACTATTTTTATTATTAAATAGTATATTTTTATTTAAAATTTTGATATTTAAAATATAATAATTATTTTAACAAAATTGAAATTAGAACAATCCACATCCGTTCCGCGTAAAATACATTTGATCCGCATCCATACCCGCAACTTAATTTTTTTAAATCGATCGACACTTTCCGTGGCGGGTCAAACGGGGCAAGACTCACGGGCTGATATCAAAATTTTCAGCTCTAACTACGCCAATTAAGGTGGATGTGTTTATTTTTAAGGAAAATTTCAGATATTATTAAAAAGTGAGGAGCCCACTAATGAAATCTATTAGTATATAGTTTTTAGACCCAAAAAGAAAAGAAAAAATTACCATTAATGAAAAATTAATTTGTTCATAAGATTAAGGATAAATTTGAAAAAAGTAAATCATTCATTAAAGAGAATGGGGGTGATTGGTTGGGTTGTAAGTGCTGATTTTAGCTTTATTTTTTATTTACAGCACTTAAATCACCAATCATGCTTTATCTTATTTTTTAAAGCTACAACCAAAAACTAAAAAAATTGCTGTAAAATCTTTTTTTTCTAAAACTACATCTTTTTTGCTGTAGATAATTTTAAAGCTACATCTCTTACAGCTAAATCAAAAAACTCTACAGACTAATTTATACAGTAAAACTTTTACAGCTACAGTTCAACCAATCATCTAGAATGTTTCTCTTTTAATGATATTGATTGGGCCATAGGCCTTGATTTACAATATCCATTTTTAAATTCCATGACATATTATAATGTGTAATATTTTTTGATTGATGTACTATTATGTGTAATAATAAGGATATTTTGATTATATATGAAATCAAATCACGAAACTTTAATTAAAAACATTAATTTAATTTTATCAATTTAATAACTATTTGATTAATCAACAAAATTGTAACTATATTCTGTTATTTAAAAATTAATATCTATTTACAATTAAAATATAAATAATGTGTGAAATAACTATGGCACAAGTATATAGTTATGCAACATCACTAATTTAATACAATTATCAACATTTTCTTAGTAATGATTTTCGAAAAAAATTACACAATTATGATTACAAAGAAAAGCACAAATCATTCCAAATACTAATACAAATATAGTTACAAAGAAAAACATAAATATAAAAATTAAATATATAAAAATATATAAAAGGAAAAGTATATCGCTCTCTGAGAAAGCGGATCTGAATTAAGTTGTTTAATTAAAACGCGCATAACCACTTCCCAAGTGACCTATTTTGAAATTATATAAAAAGTAAAACTATATATTCCTAAATATAAGAATGATTCCAAATTAATTTTTGTATGATCTTCGGTTAATTGATTAGGCGCTACACCTTGGTCGAACGCACACGTTAGGCTAAAGCAATTTTCGAACATTGATATTTATCATGCATGCTAAAAAGCAATTACCAGATACTTGTTATTTAACTATTCTATATCAGCGTTCTAGTTTTAGTAGATGTTACATGAGCACATAGTATTTTGATTAATTCTATATTTTCATATAAACTTGTGTGGAATTATTCAACTATAATATTATTTTTCTTTAAATAGTAAGGAAAATTAAAAACGAGAAAATGTTTTATTTTTCAAAAAGAGTGTTCAATTTCGTTGAATTGGTCCTACTCTTTTCCTTTTCTATTCTTGTTTGTACATATAGCTATATTCAGAATTTGTTCAGAAAAAGAAGGAGCTATATTTAGATTTGTTGCATATATTTATCAAGCGGGTCAACAACAACAATTAGCAGCCCCTATTTATTATTTCAATAAATAAACTCTGAATTTGTGCAAGAGATAAAAAAATATAATCTATACTGAATTATGAGGTTTAGTATTATTTTCATGGTTTCTTGTGTTTTCATAGTACTCATCCTCAGCAATGTTCAAGGTAATATAAATTTATCTGCTTTTAGAGTTTGATGGGAATAAGAGAAAAAGAAAGGGTTCTGCTGTTTGGGTTAACATACATATAATTTATTGTTTGCAACAAAATTTTGATATACTAGATGTGAGTGCAAATGCTTGTTATGCCGTGGAAGAACTTCTGAATTGCAATCCCTCTGCATGTCTTGCCAAAGCAAAAAAGCATCCACGCATGGCTAAGAGAGAAGGACTTAAATGCAAATGTGAGACTCCAAGAACATGTTACTGCGATTGGACTTGTAAACCTTAATAATTAAGTTTTCCTAAATTCTACAAGTAAATAATACATAAGAAGCTTGCAATGTTAAAATATGAGATAAAATTTTGTAATTAAAGACACTCAGAAGTTATTTTGTACCTAATTGCTTCTTATTTTACCTCAATAAAATTATTTTTATCATTCAAACAATACTTGGCTCGTGTCTCATCAATGATGTAATAAAATATTTGGTTATCTAATTAATCACAAGCATAAGGTACAGCTAGGTACGGTTATCACAAAAGAAGAATTGCAAGAAAAAAAACAATAAGAATTCAAGAAAATTCCTAAGCTAAACTACAAAGCTTAAGTTTCAAACTTGTTAATTCCAAACAAGTTAAATTCTAATTCTAGAGTGGTAAAGAGAAGTATCATCAATGCAAGAGATTAACAAACGATAACAAGTAAAAAAAAAAGACTTAGTATTACATAAAAAAGGCAAACGATAAAAATATTCAGTATAAGATTATTATTATTATTGTTATCAGGTTCCAACCAAAGCACTACCCAGTTTGTGCAGAACATGAAGACGTCTTAGTGAGTGAGAAGGGTGCGAGTGAGGTGGTTGAGAAAGCAGAAATTCCCCAAGTTTCGTTGATGTTAGGTACACTTTCTTCTGAATTTAAATAGCTAAGAACTAACCCGATAGATGGTCGACACTCGGGCCTCATGTGGCAGCAAAGCAGCCCCACCAGGAGGGCTTCCCTGGCCTCTTCGGTATCGTAACATGCTTCGAGCCTCTCGTCAACGGAATGCAGAATTTCACCCCTAGAGTAGAGCGCCATGATCCAAATTGGCAGCTTAAAGTTAATGCATTGGGTAGGGCTCACACCTGATATCATTTCTAAAAGTAGGACTCCGAATGCATATACATCAGAGGCAGAAGAAGGGTGTCCGTTGCTTGTGAGTTCGGGGGCCATATATGCAGGTGTGCCAACGATCACGGTGGTGTGTGATTGTGAACCGCGCTTGTAAAGCCGGGCAAGCCCGAAATCTCCCAATCTAGGGTTCATATCCTCGTCTATCAAGACATTGCTAGCCTTAATGTCACGGTGTATCACCACATGTTCACATTCCTCGTGGAGATAAAGCAAACAAGACGCGATTCCCTTAGCGATGTGAAGACGCATGGTCCATGACAGAACGGTGCCGGGTACACTGTGGAGCAAGGAGTCAAGAGAGCCGTTGGGGATAAAATCGTAAACCAATAAGAGGCTTGTTTTACGTTTGCACCATCCTCGAAGGTTGACTAGATTCCTATGGCTTAATCTTCCTAGGCTCTCGATCTCTGCAACAAATTCTCTTATACCCTGCTCGCTGCCCTCTGTTATCTTCTTGACGGCGATTTGATCAGACAGAGATGAAGAGAGGCTTCCTCTGAATACCGTTCCAAAGCCTCCTGATCCGATAATCCGCTCCTCGCTGAAGCCATCAGTTGCAGAATCCAGATCTCTGTAACTCATTCTGTGGGGGTGGGTCACTTCCCAATCTTCTAGAGTCTCTCCTCGCTTCTTCCTGTAGATCACAAATGCCACAATCAGCGCAGCGCCCGATATAGCCGCAAATGCAATCAGACCAATTTTATCTGAACTGTAACCGCTCTTCTCTGCCGTATTCGTAGGTGGATGAGGAAGCTCGGAGAGATTGAGCTTAGTTGCCGCCACTGGATGTTCTCCGCCACTTTTAAAACTCCATCCCATGACATCATGTGCACTTGAACGTTCACCATCTCCCGTTGCTGCCGTGAAACCGACATACATCTCTTCTTCAATGATCCGAGACAACTTTGGAACTGGTACAGAGATCGATGGCCTAACCGGACTAGGAGAAATTTCGGCAGGGTAGACCGTTACGTTCAGTAATTTGGTGAATCCGTCATAGGTTATATCCGCTTTGATGGGTTCTCCTGTTTGGAGTAAAAACTCTTCCCTTCGGTCATTTTTGTAAAACAGAACAGGTCCTTCAAATTCCGATGCGAGACTGTTGAAATTTACCCCAATATGACTCCCCATTCTGTGATAACCATCGTCGAACCCTTGCACAGTGTCAAATTCCACCGCGAAAACATGATTTCTCGGGTTTCCGTTGGTTACATCGCTGAAAAGTCCCATATACTGTCCGGAATCTGCTCTCCTTCCATACGGGGTGGGAGATAGAGTAAAGGTGAATCCATAGCCTCCTTCTTTGGAGCTTGTAGGGTTTATTGCAAAGACAATACATGTGCTAAATGAACGAACGTTTCTGTGCGGCTCCAGTAATCTCACCGCCTTCCGGTAAAAAGTTGTAACGATGGTGTTTGGTTTTTGATCAGTGAGCCTCAAGAGCCCATCAGGTGTGACCGTGGCATCTCCTTCCATCCGAATCTCCGATTGGCTTCCACTAAAACCTCGGAATACAAACTCTTTTGTCTTTGTTCTCTGAGTCCGGACAAGGATGGTCAGAAGAAGACGAGCACCAGCAGTGATTTTCCACTACCCATTAACAAAGAGAAGAAAAGGAGGCAGAGAAGAATTTCAAAAAGCTTTAAACAAGAAATTTCTCTCTTTTGCGTCAAGAAATTGCTTATATATATATATATTTTTTGCGTGGTAAAATTTGTATTCGAAAGGAAAGCATTAAACTGATAGAAATTTTGTACATATTTTTCCATTACAAGAATCGTCGTAGCTAGGACTGGGTCTGGACATTTCAAGTATTAAGTTTGGTTTGGGTTGAATATTTCGCATTCAGTTATAATTTATGATGATTATGTACTATGAGTTTGTTTTAATTAAGTCAGATTTTAATAGTTTGGATTAATTTACTGAATAACTAAAATAGAAAAGAAAATTAAGTATATAATATTGATTTTGACATAATTAATAATCTACTACTAGATTTTGACCCCCGCAACCGCGCGAATGTTTGTTTTCATTTATAGTTAGTTATATAAACATTTTGTTTTCACTTGTAAATTGGTATATATTATAGTAATCACATATTTACGATATGTATAGTAAATGTTTTTCAAACATAATAATATTATATAATACGTGTTTTAATCAAATAGATTGTTTCAAATTTTCTATATTATACATGTTTTTCAAACATGTGTTTGTTTCTTCTTCTATATTTTATTGTTTGTTAGATTAATATTTCTTTTTTAGATAAAGTAATATAAATAGAGCTTGATTAAATATTAGTATACTTTAATTTTGCAAAGATAATATAAACTTCAAAGAAATTTTTGCTAAAAACTAAACTTATAGCTTCATAAATTAATTATAAATAATTTATTAAAAAGAACTTTTTAAACAATTTCTTTTTTTTTAAAACAATATAATTTTAAAAATTTACATCGAAATAGATTTATCTAGTATATATAGCGTGTAAATTTTGTTAGGGTATATAAATATTCCATATTACGATTCTGTGATTTTTGTTAATATATTGTGGATGCATTTAACTATTATTGACATATTTCCTTAGAAATAATAGAAGATTACTAAACTTATATCTATTGACATATTTTGCGTGACTAAGTTGGAAGGTGTGGGGTAATTGACCAAAATCAAATTGTTAAGCGTATCTTTTTTATTATAGATATGATTTTTCATAAGATATAATAATGATAAGATTATTAGAAAGTTAATGTAACATGTTCTTATAGTAATAGTCTATTTTTTAAAAAATCACACATGAAGTCAAGTCATGACTTCTGTTTTAATATATAAGATTTATATCACATATGAGCCGGTTATACATTTTCTTTGAACAAAGTATCCGGTGAAAAGGAAAATTCCAACGACGTCTTTGATTGTTTCCATGTACAGAAATGAAAAACAATTATTTACAGTCCATCACGTAATAAAGTCCACATCACACACTTCTTTACCGTACGATTATTCATATAGTATGGAATTTATGTAAGTATAACCACTACAAAAAAATGTTTTTTTTAATTAGAAAAATTAACTAAGAAAATGTTTCTTTGTAAAGTTACGACGACATTACGAGAATTTACGAGTAAACATTGGTTCCACTTAGTTTCCTCGTAAAGTCACGAGAAAAATGTTTCCTCGTAAAGTCTTAGTACTATTACAAGAAACTATGTGTCTTTTCTGGTTTCCTCGTAAACTCCTAGTTAAGTTTAATTAGGAGTTTACAAGGAAATATGATTCAGCGAGAAAATAGCGAGGCTTCGTCTATTTTAAATTTAAAACGTGTATTGTACCTTCTTTTTTTTGTAAATTTCTAGTAAATATCTATCTACCAAATCAAAAATTTCTATAAATACGACCATTTGTGATTCCTTTCAAACACACCAAAAAACAATCAGCTATAAGCTTGAAAGAAAAAAAATATCTGGTTCTGTAAATATTTTTGAGTTACGGAGGTGGATGTATACACACATAGATAATAACGAGAGAGTGACGAAAGAATTTCTCCAAGGGTTGGAGACATTTATGCATCAATCAGATTCTACACCGCTCACGCAGGAAATCAGTAAGATGTTCTGTCCTTGTCGGAAATGCAACAATACAAAATTAGACCCTCGTGAAAATGTTTGGAAGAATTTAATAAAAAGAGGTTTCATGCCACAATACTATATTTGCTATCAACATGGAGAAGATTATAGTTGTAATGAAGCTAGCAGTAGTAATAGCAATTTTCAGGATGAACTGGTCGTTGATCATTTGCGTAATGAAAATAGTTATCACCAGGAGGAACAAATGGTAGATTGTGATAGGGTTCATGATATGGTAGGTGATGCATTTGTAACTCATGATGATGAAGTTGAAGAACCTAACTTAGATGCAAAAAAAGTTTTATGAAATGTTAGAAGCTGCGAACGAGCCAATTTACAATGGTTGTAGAGAAGGTCTCTCTAAATTTTTGTTGGCTGCTAGAATGATGAGTATTAAAACCGATCACAATCTACCTGAATATTGCATGGATGCATGGGCAGACTTTTTTAAAGAGTATTTTCCAGAAGAAAATGTGTCTGCTCAATCTTATTATGAGATTCAGAAATTAGTTTATAGTCTTGGGTTGCCCTTGGAGATGATAGACGTTTGCATCGTCAACTGCATGATTTACTGGGGAGATGATGAGCAGTTAGACGAATGTCGATTCAGTAAGAAGCCACTATTCAAACTGCAAGGACGAGGAAGGAATAGGGTACCGTACCAAAGGATGTGGTACCTACCAATCACAGACAGATTGAAAAGATTGTACAAATCTAAGGAGACTGCTAGAGGGGTGAGATGCCACGCCGAGCATACTCAGACAGATGGGGAGATGACTCATCCATCAGACGGAAGAGCTTGGAAACATTTTAACAATGTACATCCACATTTCGCTCGCAATAGCCGGAATGTGTATCTGGGATTATGCACTGGTGGATTTAGTCCATTTGAAATGTCTGGGAGACAATATTCATTATGGCCAGTCTTTCTTACGCCGTACAACCTGCCACTGGAGAGTTTCTATCCTTGACCAGATTAATACATGGTCCAAAGCATCCAAAAAGATCTCTCGATGTTTTTCTACAACCACTGATAAAAGAGTTGAAAGATTTGTGGTCAACAGGGGTATAGACATAGGATTGTTCAACGAAAACGAATTTTACGATGCGAGCGATGCTTTTGTGGACCATAAGTGACTTTCCTGCATATTGGATGTTGTCTGGATGGACTACACATGGGAGATTAGCTTGTCCATATTGTAATGGAATGACAGATGCGTTTTAGTTGAAGAATGGTAGGAAGACAACTTGGTTCGATTGTCACCGTCGATTTCTTCCACTTTACCACCCATACCGAAGAAACAAGACATTGTTCAGACACAAAAGGGTGATTAGTGACACTCCTCCTCCATATTTAACTGGAGAACAAATTGAAGCACAAATCGATTACTACTGTGCACTAGAAACATCTCCTCATGGTGCTAATTGGCATGTTCCCAGTAATATGCCATATTCTTATGGTGTTCAGCACAATTGGCACAAGAAGAGTATATTTTGGGAGTTGCCATATTGGAAAGATCTTCTTTTGCGCCACAACCTCGATGTGATGCATATAGAGAAGAACTTTTTTTTGAACATCATGAACACTACATTGAAGGTCCCAGGGAAGATGAAAGACAACCTAAAATCGAGGTTAGACTTACCCGATATCTGCTCAAGAAGTGAGTTACATATAAAAAGCAATGGGCAAGTTCCAGTTCCGATATTCTGACTGTCATCAGAAAAAAAGATAGTGTTGTTCAACTGGGTGGCTTCAGAAGTGAAGTTACCTGATGGGTATGTTTCAAATCTCTCAAGATGTGTTGAGAACGGTCAAAAGTTCTCTGGGATGAAGAACCATGATTGTTATGTCTTTATGCAAAGACTACTTCCCTTTGCATTTGCGGAGCTACTACCAACAAAAGGACATGAAGCACTTGCAAGTAATATAATATGCAAACATTAATTAATTTATTTTTATATATGTACATATAAATATGATTATACTAATGTGTTTAACTTTTTGTAATATATAAGAAATTGGAGCATTTTTGAGGGATCTGAGCACACACACTCTTAAAGAGGATGTTGTTCAACAACTTCATGAGAACATCCCCATCTTAATGTACAACTTGGAGAAACTATTTCCGCCGATATTTTTTGACGTCATGGAGCACCTACTTGTCCACCTCCCGTATAAAGCGTTGCTTCGTGGACCTGTACATTATGGATGGATGTATCAGTATGAAAGGACCATGAAAACGTTAAAAGGAAAATCCAAAAACCTCGCAAAAGTTGAAGGTTCTATTATTGCGGGAAGTTTGACGGAAGAAACATCACATTTCACATCGTACTACTTTGCACCGAAAATATGTACAAGGAAACGAGCTCCAAGAAGATATGATGATGGTGGTGTCGTGCCGACATATATGAAAAGATGTTCCAGACATCTTTTGTCAAATTGGGCGATTGGGTGGAAAATTGAAGGAGGTTTGGTAGTCGAGTGATGAAGACGTCAATAATGCACACATTTATATTCTTCTCAATTGCGAGCATCCATTGATTCGTTATTTTGAAAGGTAAACATATAAACACGTTCATACACATTTATATATTCTCAATTGATTAGTTAACATAACATAATTTTACAGTGAATTTGTGACTCAAGTCGAAGAAGCAATCACAAGTATATTGACAACTGAGTTAAGCACAAGGAACGATCAACACTTTATCAAGTGGTTGAGGAAACATGTGTTATAACTTAAATTTTTATGCATACATCCCTGATTGTAAGTTTAATTTCAAGTAAATGTGATTGTTTGCAGGTTGATTATGACGATCCCGCTTATCCCGCATGGTTTCGCGAATTAC